TATATATATATATATATATATATATAAATAAATAAACTACTACTTACTTGTACTAATATTTCTACTTCACGGTTTTTCACCTATCGCGAGACTTCAGGGTACGGATCCTCCGAGATAAATCAAGGACTACTGTAAACTGACTGTGGCAAACACCTTGAATTGGGAGACCCCAAATCCATCCAACCATTTTTCTTTATAAGTTTCTTTAAAATCCATCTTGTAGTTTGACAAAATTTGCCTGCAGCACAATTGACTCCAAGAGTTAAGGGTAAAGTGATAACAGATCTTACACAGTCCATTACTTTTCAAAATATGCATAAACAGTCTCAGCTTCCACCAGACCAACTTTTAGGTCAATAACATTCGAAGTGAGTTATAGCCAGTGTTTGCCCAGGTCAATTAGATGCAGCGGACATCTTGAACTGAGTTGACTTCAAATGTCAACAAGCAGTATGTTGATGTCCTCTGAGGGATGAGTCGCTGAATAAACAGTAAAAAAAAAAAAAAAAAAAAAAAAAAAAGGCTTTTGAGCTGAGGGTTTTTCTGGACTGGAAGTAAACAGAAATTAAAGTTAACCTTAATGTTTTGGTGCAAGATATTCAAGTAGGAAGGAGTTAGAAGAACAGAGGTAGATGTTTTATTTTGATTTTCCAAGGCAGCGTGGAGTGACAAATCCTGGCAGGCAGAGGGAGCAATCTTATCCATCACCAGGCACAATGGCAGAGCCAGGGGGCGGACAATGGTGGCCCTGGCTACCATACATTAATATTTCACCACAACAGTCACCCTAATCATTTAAAGAAATTATACTTTTAAGCTATATAAAAACTAGAAAACAAAGATTTTATATGGTGGTGGCCATCTTAGATTTTAACCTGGCAACTCAATTTCCAACAGTGGCCTTTCTTATGTCTAGATGTAGCCACACACTAAGGTGGAAGTTGATCCCTTACTTATTTTTCAAGTTATCCAGCACAGAATAAAGGGAGGGCACTTTCAATTCCCCTCTTTGCTCCACAACAGGGTGCAATCATTTGTAAATGAGTTTCACTTAAAGCTGTTCAGTGTTTCATGAACTGTTTTGCCAACACTAGACAAACAAACTCACAAACAAGCAAAAACATTATTGCCATGTGTGGCGAGTGATAGAAAATTTTCACTCTTCACAAAAGTTAGAAAAAAACAGAAAATCAAACCTGATTTTGTACTTTGGGAGTGGAGGGTTGAGGTGGAGTTGCACTTTTCCCCTCCTCCTCTTCTTCCAGCCCCATATGCAGACGAGCGTAGCTGCCCTCGGCCATGGAGCGCTGCCGGAGGCGCCGTTTGCTTGGATCGTCTGACATGGCCTCCTGCTTGTCAACAGTGTCCTCATCTGCAAAGGGCTGCTCCTCCAGCTGTACAAGCTCCTCCACCTCCTTCTTTAGCTTGGCTGGACGTCCTCGCTTGCGTTTCGGGGGGGCAGGCGCAGGCTCTTCATTTGGGACTTTTGTGTCCCCGTGTTGGGGTATTGTCTCTCTGAACTTCACCTCGGGGGGGCTGACTTTGTCTGAAGCTGTATCAATAACAAAAGCTTCAGCAACCTGCGGCTGCTCTATCGCCAAGCAGGCCGACACCACAGAGAGGGACTCACTGGCCCCCGCCTGCCCGCTGTGGGTGACCACCGTCACTGTGTCGCCCTCCATCCCTTCAGCACAGCCTGAGATAAGAGTGATAGTCTCTCCGGCCTCAACCTGCCCGCTGTGAGCGAGCAGCGCCACAGACTCGTTCTGCTCAGCCTCCACAGCGTGCACCACCTCTCCCTCCACAGCCTGGGCTAGAACTGCCACCGGCTGCTGGATGTACCCTTCTTTGGTTTGAGCAACGAAAGCTAAAGGCTCGCCTGAAACAGCAACAGCATGGTGTGTGACCACCGTCCCACCGTCCTCTTGGAGGTGTGTGACCACTGTCCCACCGTCATCTTGGATGGTCACCATGTAGGCATCGGGCTTCTCCATCGAGCCTTCTGGGATCTCCTGCTCAGCCGATTGGGCTGACACAACAATTTGGGGTTCGCTTCTCTGATACACCATCAGCTTCTGCTCCTCCACCTGTTTATGCACAGACTCGCAAATCTGCAGCACTTCTGTCATCAGCAGGTGTCGGGCCAAATTGGCGATCTCGGCCATGATGCAGAAATTAAACTTAAGCATAGAGGTGTACGCAAAATCGAGCAGTGGGAGGAAGGTGGCTTTGGCAAAACCTGTAAAGAGAATAACGAAGATTAAACACTGGTGGAAAACTGAACAGAGCAAAAAGAAAGACTTACCAGAAAGGTCAACTACAGCTTCATGGGTCGTAGCTGCTCCCTTCTCAAAGAAGAGCTCGTTGAAGTATTCACTGGAGGCAGCCAGGACAGATTTGTGCGCACGGTACTCCTCTCCTTCGATGAACAACGTGATGTCACAGAACTGGTTGCTGAGACGCTGCTGGTTGAGTTTGTCCAACATGGTCTGGCTGTGTCTGGGCAGGAACTGATTCACCTCACCCTTACTGTCCACCTGGAATCAGCAAAAACACAAACACTTCAACTTCCACCGCTTTGTGCCTTCTTCCAACGGTCAGCGTGACATTTACGTCTGTGTGTTTGTGATGGGATCAGCTCTGCTACTTACAAATACCACTTCATGCTTAGTCGAGCCCTTGGAGAACTTGGATCTCTGCAGGGGGGACAAATCTGTGGCAAATAAACCGTCATCTCCCTCATCTTCCTCCTCCTCATCAAACTCTTCATCGATCATGCTGACGCCAGCCCTGCGCCGACCTGGCCGGGACAGCGGTCGAGATCCGGAGCCATCGTCGGCGACGCGTCTGCTCTGACAGAGCGCGCACTCTCTGATGTGGTCTTTGACGTTCTTCAGGATACCTTCAGGTGTCAGAAAACAGTCAGTGACGCTCACAGTAAAACAACAATGACTCAGCATGTCCTGTTCCTGATGAATGGTTGTACCATTGGATCCACCAAATCACATGAGTAAGACTCAAACTCACTCACGGTGCATGTGTAACTGCTCCAAACCATCTCAGTGAAGACTTCGGCACAGTACACTGAAGTACACGATGACTAGTTTAGTCACAGGCGATCACTGCTCCCACCTAGAACTACGTTTTGCCAATAGTCACGACAGCAAATAGCTGAAGAAGATAATAAGCTGATAGCTGAAGCCAGCAGGGACCAGTTATGGGGCACTGCCATGATGTATTGTTGGAAACATACTGCGAAGGATTAAAAATAGAGGATTTGTGCTGAATATGACTTCAATAAAAAAAATGTAGCAGCAGAAGGCTGAGCACAAACTGGGTGTACAAAATATTAAAAGTATCTTTGTGATGTCATATAACTGGCACAGATTTTATCATTCGGGTTAATTTGTTAAACGAGTGTAGAGAATGGAGGTATTCTAGTTTACCTGCCTAGAAGACTGCAGCGTAGAAGGGCATCATGTTTGAATAAAATCTAATGTCAAGATTTTTGAAATGCAGATAAAAACACGATGATTTAAATTTTAATTATAAAACAACAGAAGAAGAAACAAATTTCTGTAGAAACACTGTGGGTACAAGTGAGGGGTCTTCAAGTTATTTTTAGAAATCTGTTTTTTTTTTTCAATTTATTGCAAACTTTGCCATTATTATTATTTCAAAGACAATAAAAAATCTGTTGTCATAAATGGATAAATGCTTTTAATTTTTTAAGATTTGTGTGTTGTGGTTTTATCCTCTTATTATTATTATTGGCTTTTTAGCAAAAATAAAAACCTAAACTAAACCAACAAACTTGATAGTTATTTAGTTTGTGTAGAGTTTAATCAAGACAGCTGCAACTTTTACTTTCAGAAGAGCCATTTCTTTCTGCTCTCTCAGTACATGTCAAAAACATGTTATCAACTGGGGGCCACAGGGGCAATGGGGTGACATGGTAAAACTAGAAATATAAGATGAACTAACTTTTTTTTTGTTGCCCTTTTTTAAACTAGGCAAGCTTATGGGGAGTCGTCTTTTAATATAAAGGTATCACTACTTTTATATGCATTTTATGGTTGTTTATTGTTGTTGTTGTTGTTACTCAGGGTTGTCATCACGCTTTGTTAGAATCAGGTCTCTCTTGTGAATGAGCCCCCGAGGCTCAGTGGGATTAACCTGAATAAATAAAGGTTGAATGAATGTCTGTAACTCATCTGTAGTTTGTCTAAAATGGGTCTCTTCAGAAAATGAGTCCTTGTGACTCATCGAGACTAACCTGCATAAATAAAGGTTGATTATGTGTGGGGAAATTAAGTATCCCACTTTAAGGTAGTCAAGCAGCATATAGTTAAAGAGAGTACCAAAATTACGCTGGTTTGTTGAATTTATAAATGTGACTTAATGAATTGTACAATAACAACAAATACTTTCATTTACTTTGACTTTAATTAGGTTTGATGGTGCTAGTTTTGGTCAAAGCATTAAAGAGCCACTGAAGAGGGCCCAAAGAGCCGCACGGGGCCCCAGAGCTGCAGGTTGCAGGACCCTGGTTTAAGTAGTGAATGTTAGCGTCATGTGGATCGTTTCTGATGCTGGTATTTTGTGGGACTGCAACAAGAAAAGTTTGGAAATCACTAGTCTATAGGGTCTATTAGCAAGATGAAATTCATGACCCTTTAAAAATTAAATGTAAAATATCAAAGTTCTTGCTCAATAATCCAGGTAAAAAAAAAAATCCAACAAAGTTCAGTCTGGTAAATGGACTGTACTTATATAGCACCTTTCCATCTTATCGAGATACTCAAAGCTCTTTACAACAATCTGTGTCCTCATTTACCCGTTCATACAGCTCTATACTAGATCTCTACAAAGCTAATTGAACAAATCATTCTAAAGAGACTCATCAGAGATTTATCACATTCATACACTGATGGGACACACATCAGAGGCAATGAAGGGTTCAGTGTCTTGCCCAGGGACACTTCAGCATGTGACTGCTGGTGGATTTGAACCCCCAACTCTCGCATTGGAGAACGACTGCTCTAACCACTCAGCCACAGCCGCCCTCAGTCCTCTGGACGGTTTCTTTTTGTTGAAACGTTTCATCTTTCATCCAAAAGACTTCATCAGTCCGAGGAGCCACAACAAACTCAGTCCGTCCAGAAAAAGAAAACCGTCCCAGAGGACCTGACATAACTTTGTTGGATGTACAGGTGCTGGTCATAAAATTAGAAGATCATGACAAAGTTGATTTATTCAGTAATTCCATTCAAAAAGTGAAACTTGTATATTATATTAATTCATTACACACAGACTGATATATTTCAAATGTTTATTTTAATGTTGATGATTATAACTGACAACTAATAAAAACCCCAAATTCAGTATCTCAGAAAATTAAATTATTAAGACCAATAAAAAAAGGATTTTTAGAAATGTTGGTCAACTGAAAAGTATGAACATGAAAAGTATGAACATGAAAAGTATGAACATGAAAAGTATGAGCATGTACAGCATCAATACTTAGTTTGGGCTCCTTTTGCCTGGATTACTGCAGCAGTGTGGAATGGAGTGGATCAGTCTGTGTCACTGCTCAGGTGTCATGAGAGCCCATGTTGATCTGATAGTGGCCTTCAGTTCTTCTGAATTGCTGGATCTGGTGTATCACATCTTCCTCTTCACAATACCAGGTGAATTTGCTGGACAATTAAGAGCAGGGATACCAGGTACTGGTAACTTTGGCATTGTGTGCAGGTGCCAAGTCCTGTTGGAAAATTAAATCTGCATCTCCATAAAGTTGGTCAGCAGCAGGAAGTCTCTATAAAATTATTGGATAAATTTGAAAGGACACAATGAAACTCATCCAGTTAAGAAAGTGTTAGAAAATTGTTGGAAAAGAGGAAAGGAGCTAAAAAATAGTTTTGGGTGGATTGGGGATAATTTAGCAAGAACATTTAAAGTATATAACAAAGAATTTAATTCAACAGTATTATGGCCCTTAAGGCCTACATGGGCATGGAAATATATTAATGTAGATAGATCATTATTAAATATTAAGAAAAGGAAAACTACAGATATTTGTCGAAGAATTTTATGATCGAGTAGAGAAGAAATATAATGATTACCTGCAAATCTATACAGATGGTTCAAAAGATCCAAAAACTGAAGCAACTAGTGTAGCAGTAGTGATTCCCGAATTAAAGATTAAGCTTTCGAAAAAATCATCTAATTTTCTGAGTATATATGCAGTAGAATTATGTGCTATATTATTGGCTTTAGAATGGGTGGAGGATAGTAGAACAAGTAAAATTATAGTTTGCAGTGATTCATTATCAGCACTATTAAGCATTGAAAAGGGAACCTCAAGTAATCACCAACACATCTTGTATGAGATTCTGTTTGTTCATCATAGACTTTGTGAACAAAACAAAACTATAGTAATTATGTGGACTCCTGCTCATTTAGGTATTTTAGGTAATGAAAAAGCAGATAGGTTGGCTAAAGAAGCTGTTAAAAAAGAAGATATTGATATGTCAATAAAATTATCTAAGTCTGAAGGAAAAAGTATAGTTTGGAAAGAAAGCAAGAAATTATGGGAAATGAGCTGGAATAATGAGACAAAAGGGAGACATTTATACAGGATACAGAATACAGTTGATGTTAAAAGAATCAGAGGAATAAATAGGAGGGAGGAGATAATTATAAATAGAATAAGAACTGGGCAAAGTTTTTTGAATGGCACTCTTTTTAAGATGGGGAAACATCTTACTGGTTTATGTGATTGGTGTAATACCACAGAAACAATAGAACATGTTTTTATTAATTGCAAGAAATATGTGGGTCAAAGAAGATTATTGAGAATGGAAATAGGTTGTAAAAGAGAACTAAAATTTGAAAATGTGGCTTCGCAGCTGAATAGTGAAGAAGGGAAAAGAAAGATATTTCGTTTTTTAAATAATACTGGACTCAAGAGAATTTGGAGGAAAGAAATTAACTTATAAACACCAAGAGATGGCAGTAGTGCAACATTGATGGATGCAAGCTGCCGTTAAAAACCAAAGAAGAAGAAGAAGAAGAAGAAGAAGTCTCTATAACTTCCTGGTAGATGCTGTGTTGACCTTGGACGTCAGAAAACAGTGGACCAACACCAGCAGATGACATGGCACCCCAAACCATCACTGATTGTGGAAACTTGACACTGGACCTCCAGCAACGTGGATTCTGTGCCTCTCCTCTTCCTCCAGACTCTGGGACTTTGATTTTCAAATTAAATGCAAAATGTATTTTCATCAGAGAACATAACTTTGGCCCACAGTCCCAGGTGAGATGCTTCTGATGCTGTCTCTTTTTCAAGAGTGGCTTGACACAAGAAATGTGACAGATGAAGCCCATGTCTTGCATACTTCTGTGCATGCAGCTGCAGTCCACTCTTTGTGAATCTCCCCCACATTTTGGAATGGGTTTTGTTTCACCATCCTCTCCAGGGTGCAGTTATCCCTATTTCTTGTACATTTTTTTCTACCACATCTGTTCCTTCCCTTCACCTCTCTATTAATGTGCTTGGACACAGAGCTCTGTGAACAGCCAGCCTCTTTAGCAATGACCTTTTGTGTCTTGCCCTCCTTGTGCAAAGTGTCAGTGGTCGTCATTTGGACAATTGTCAAGTCAGCAGTCTTCCCCATGATTGTGTAGCCTACAGAACTAAACTGAGAGACAATTTAAAGGTCTTTGCAAGTGCTTTGAGTTAATTAGCTGATTAGAGTGTGGCACCAGGTCTCTTCAATATTTAACCTTTTCACAATATTCTAATTTTCTGAGATACTGAATTTAGGTTTTGATTAGTTGTCAGTTATAATCAACATTAAAATACATCAGTCTGTGTGTAATGAATGAATATAATATACAAGTTTCACTTTTTGAATGAACTGACTGAAATAAATCAACTTTTTCATGATATTCTAATTTTATGACCAGCATCTGTATGTAAAAGTATTTATTTATTTAAGTACTGATAACTTTAATAAAAAAAACATTTTACATATGTGATTTTTTTAACATTTCACAGACATATTTATTGTATTTTATTTGCATTCACTCCATAAAACTGGAGTTTGTATAATCCCTCTGCTAAACAAGACACATGAGATGTAACTACATGTTCCTTCTTTAATGCTCCACTAGGTGGCAGCACCAAGTGTTTGTCGCCCAGTGTTGTGCATTAATTAGTGTTCGGTGTTGACTGGACCTGCCACTTTACTGTAACTAAAGCTCACCGAGTGACTCGGACCAGGGCTCTTACCTCTCCACCAGTACCTCTGAGAGATGTCCTCCCAGGTGAGTTGCTGGTTCAGGTGCTCGCCGGTTTCCTTGATGTGCGCCTGCTGGATAAGTTCCTTCCTCCTGCCATCCTGCAGCACCACCTCCAGCTCCGTGAACTCATTCTGGCCCTTCTGCCGACGCTGGTACAACAACGTCCCGTTCCTGACAACGTAGCATGCAGCGGCTTTACGTATTTTCCTCTTGGTGTTACCGGGCGTCCCCGGCGCGTACGGCTCCCGTTCATCCGTCAGGTAGCGTATGATAGCCAAGTAGCTTTCTTCGCACGACATGTTTTTTTTACCCTACCCGCAAACTTTTCACGCTTACCGCGAAGAGGAGAGCTCTCTCCGACTCTTAAAACAAAAGTGCGAATTTTATATCGCGATTAAGTTCGGATTATTACGAAACAGAGAAGCCAAAGTGATATTTCGATTTGTTTTTTAAGGTGGAACTGCAGTTCGCAACGGTCGAGTTTTATTCGAACAGACAAAATGGCTGCTGCACAACCGGAAGTGACGTCTAACAGAGCTGCAATATGTATTGAACAATGTTTACCACAAGAGGGCGCAATGGGTTTATTTGAGATTTTAATTTGTTTTATTCTTCTAAATACATTTTTACATGTAATAGTTAATTTATTTTAGAACAACAAGCCTTTGCACAAATTTATACTCGAGCATAAATGTTTAATCTTCCTGTCAGCTGTTAGTGTCGCTGAGTTGTTTAATTTGCTAAACAAGCTATTACTTTAGTTATATTTATGTAGTAAAAGTTGCTTACTTTTTGCAAACTACCCTACCAACATTAAATATGTTGAAAGATAAAACAGAGTTATTTCAACCCACTGATAAATGCTCTGGATCAACTTACATGCATGTCCTCAGAATGCCACGTGTCTAAAAAAAATCACGTAAAAGTGAGAAATTCATGCGTGCACATCTGCTCACAGACTCATGTTCATGTTTGTGGTGATGTTCAATGTTTTATGTTATGAGTGCTTAGTGTATATTTAGTTGATGTTTTTCTTAGTTCATATCTTAGATGTTATTACTGTTTTTCTTATACATTTTATTGTTGGATGTAACTGGGACCCTGTGTACATAATTTCGCTCCACCACATGTACCACATGAGGTGCGAATGACAATAAAGAAACTCTGACTCTGACTCTGACTCTGAAAAGTAACAAATAGGAGAGATGTTCAAACCTACAACCCTGTGATTTGTTCCTCAGTGTATTAGCTCTTTATAAAATTGTTTTGAAGCCACTTATTCAATATTTCCCATTCAAAAGCATCATCTTCTAATCCTGGAAGCATTTAGTCATGACTCATGTGTTTGTCTTTATTTTTTTTTTTAAACAAAACTTGTTACCAGAAAATACAGCATGCCGATGCTCTGTTTCAGCACAAAAAGCATGCACTACACTGACTTTTACCATAACTGTCTATATATCCTGTGTGAACGTGAAAAAATACCAGTTTGTTTATGTTTAAACTTGCATAATACTGTATCTGATGTTGGTCTATCAGGTCACAAGAGCAGCACAAATATCTGTCGGAAAGAATTATTAATTTTAGCAACACTGTGTGACATTTTCAGAGTTACGCTGGCTGTGAGACACTGGATTACATAATCTGTAGCTCATCCATGTGTTGCATACCGAAGCTGACACCGAACACTTCAGTGATGCGTTTCACCACAGCTTTCCACACTTACTGAACAAAAGGACTACCCAAATTTACTGCTCTTAATAAAGGTCTGGTATTCCTTGACAAAGGCTTACTGCCCACCAGAGGTGGGATATAACCAAGTACAAGTACTTCATTATCATTACTGTACTAAAGTACATTTTACATGTATCTGTACTTTACTTAAGTAGAGTTAATCGTGGGTACTTTCGACTTTTACTCCACTACATTTTACATGAAGTATCTGTACTTTCTACTGCACTACATTTCTATAATGCGTTGAGTTACAAGTTACAGTCATGTTGCGTTTTTTTGATTTGTTAGTTTGAAAGTAACCAATGGAGAGAGGGGAGTTGGTCCATTGAATCACTGCAGAGTGGGCAGGTAACGTTAGACCCGCCTTCAAGACCAGCTGGACCAATGATGTATGTTCTATATGTCATTGAACTGGGCGCACCCAAAATGGATTTCACTGTGGAGAGTCAGACAGAAGATACGTACCACCCATGGCCTTATTGAAAGATTATTGAAAGATTATTGATAGACTATTGAAAGATTATTGAAAGACTATTGAAAGACTATTGAGAGGTTATTGAAAGATTATTGAAAGATTATTGAAAGACTATTGAAAGACTATTGAAAGATTATTGAAAGATTATTGAAAGATTATTGAAAGACTATTGAGAGGTTATTGAAAGACTATTGAAAGACTATTGAAAGATTATTGAAAGATTATTGAAAGACTATTGA